AATTTAAATAAATATATTTTTATCAGAAAATAAAACGATTTTAAATAAAGTGTAATAGGTTTTTTTTTTTCAGGGACCGAAAATAACTTATAAATCCAGCAAGAATTACTCACCACTCAAAATATCAGAGATAATCACTCAAAATATCACCAGATAACAATTTTTTTTGTGAAAGAAAAATAGAACTCTTGGTGTATATAAGTATTGTTTATTGAACGCGAAATAAAATTTAAACATAATCATTAAGAATGATTTTTTGCTAACAACTTATAAGTGCCATGACCCCGGATTTTTATTAACGCTCATATAGGGTGCATTCGAAAATGAACAAAATGGAACAAGTAAAATTGTAGAATGCATATGTATATAAAAATCTGTTCTCTTCTAATGTTGATCCAAAAAAGGTTTTATCAAAATTTTAAAGAATAAACTCGAAAAACAATGCAATTGAAAAAAAAACCTAACTAGTAAGGGATTTGCTTTGCTTAACACTATAAAAAGTTGTCATCTTGACTGCAGTCAATTACTTTTCTGGAGGTTCCCAAATCTTTAGGTCAGATCAATTTGCACGTGTTCAAGTAATAATTTAATACAATATAAATTGTTAACGTACATAGTTTAAAATACAAACAGAAATACATACGTATGTACACATCACATTTAATGAATTACAAACAATGCAGCCTTCCAAGCAGTTAAGCGCAAACGAAATCTTAAGATAAACAAAAATGAATATTAAAAATATTTGCTTGGTGTTCTCTGGCCATCGCTGTTGTTCCTTTTGTTTTTCATGTGTAGAAACGAGGTACTGCTGTTGCTTATGTTACTGATGCTATCAGCAGAAGCGCATGTTTCTACTTTATCTAACGACTCATTGTTGTTGACGGTGTGGTGTGGTCATATATGTAATACTCCTATATTGGCAGTAAGAGCTAGTACCGTCCGAAAACACTACAGTACAGATGTATCAATAAATACGTACGAAAGAAAAGGAACACATACGTTTATAAATAAACATGTACACAACACATAAACAAAAACGGCACTCAAGTACACAATACATTGACAAAAACGGTACTAGACTGTATCGCTTTGATTTCGGAATGGTTACACATTGAGAAGTTAGCTTGCTGCCAATATAGAAGTATTACATATATGGGTGCAGTGTTGCCGCAAAGCTTTTTAGTAGTAGCAAAATTCATTTAAAAAAGAGCTAAAAAAAGTCGTTGTGGCTAAAAATGGTACCAAAAATTGTTTACTTACATAATCATACATACATACCAAAAACCTTTTCGTAAAAAAGGGGAAATATACGACACCAGCTTGCTGGATCCATGGTACAATAAAAACAGGTAGAAGCCAAATTGACATCAAACCTACAAAAGTCAAAGTTTTCGGGAGAGTAAAAATAAAAATGAGCGTGTGTAAGGAAAAATAAAAAATTACATTTCGCTGGTTGACGTTTTTGAGTAAATTTGAAGTTTTGTTTCTATTTATTTATTTTTCTTTAGTTAAAATTTGTTAATTTGTATGTTGTTTTATGTTTTTAATTTATGAGTTGCAGTGTTGTTGGAGGAACTTTCCGGCATAAGGGTCATAGGAACAGCACTTGGCATCAAACGTGCCTTTCCTGTACCTCCCGGTGCATTTATGAAATCTGCTGTTTTAAAATGTTTAACGCACAGCAAGGCATTTCGCTGCAGCTCTGGCCCACAGCTGCTTTCGCAACGCTCTTTACGCGAAGGACATTGAGGCACGTTAAATGGTATCTGCTTAATTTAACACCACATAAAAAACAACGCTTCGGTGTTGCATTTTTAACACATACATTAAATATAAACTGCACAACACTACAAAAATTCAAATGTTAATTAAAATTTGTTATTAACGAACATTCAAAAAAAAAAACAACGATATGACATTCAAAGCGTAACGAAATATAGGAAATAAATGAAAAACAAGTTGAAGTTTAAAGGTTTGGTTCTCATGAGAGCAACGCCATTTTGGCTTCTACCTGTATTTATGTGCCTTGGCTGGATCGATCAAGTATATAACTTACCAGCATGCTGGTACAGTATTCATTTCTTTACAAATGAGGTCGAGGAAAGATCGAAATGATTTGAGCCGAAATTTCATAATTTTTCTACCATTTTGTTAAACATTGTTTTTTTTTTTAAATTCACAACTGCAATATCGTGAACTTAATATTCCACAAACACGGCTTTGAAACTTCCGCCAAAATATTTTTTACTTAAAGGGGAAATACACGACACCAGCTTGCTGACACCACCAAGTGATTGTAATATCAAGCTCGACGCATATAACATACCAGCATGCTGGTACAATCTTTATTTCTTTACAAATTAGGTCCCGAAAAGATCGAAATGAGTAGAGCCGAAATTTCAAAATTTTTCTACCATTTTGTTAGACATTAGTTTTTTAAATGCAGAAATGCAATATTGTGAACTTTAATCTTCCACAAACGCGGCTTTGACTCATATAGAACAAGAAATTTCCGCGAAAATGAATTTTTCTTTAAAAAAATATGAGCTAATTTCACCATTCACGACACCAGCTTGCTGGTACAAACATAAAAATATCAAATCATTTTTGATGTCGCACCAGCAGCTGGTACAATCACACCGCAAGAACATACACGGTCAATCGACTTGATGGGCCATTTAACTAATGAAGCATATTAGGGGCCAGTTTTTCAGTGCACGGCCGTGGTTCAAACTAAGTTTAAACGCCCGATCTGGCTGGTTTAAACTAAGATCAGCCATTCAAGTGTCAGCCAGCTGTTCAATTTAACCCAGTTTACTTAATATGAGTTTAAACTGGCACTGAAAAACTGGCCCTGAGGGCGGTAAACTTATCTGTTTTAAACTATAGTTAAATCGTTAATAGATGAGTTAAAAAACAGCCCTAACACTTATACAGTATGTATGTATAAAAACGTAAGGAATGTACATTACATATACTATGTCAGTCTTTCTTAGTTTAAAAATTCATCTCTTACATATATGCAAACAAAAATAGATCAAATTAAGCGTATACAACTTTTTCATGCCCAGTATGAATAAACTCTCCAAAGGGCTAAAAAAAGAGCTAGGGGCAATTTTAAATTTATGTGGCCAAAAAAAGAATGTGGTAGCTAAATCTAGCCACCAAAGGGCTAAAACGGCAACACTGTATGGGTGTGGTAAAGTTGCTTACAGATGGTTCTCTTGTAGTATATGGGCTATCAAGCACCAGAAAATTTCCATCACGCATTCCATATGCAACTGGTGTGTCTGTGGCGGAGTTATGTGGAGCAGTTGCATGACTAAAATCAATTTGGACTCTTTGAGAACTGGCTTGTTTGTGGCTAGCGCTATTGGCACTGGTGTTTGGTTTCAAATTCGGACAAACTAGACAAATTAATCAGATTTTATTTTTAATTGGATTAACGATTAATGTTTTAAATTAATTAAACGTAATCGCAGCCAGCGATTAACGTTTAAAAAAATGTTATCATTAATCGTACAGTTGATTACGATTAATTAATTTTAATCGTCAAACGCGATTAACATTTTAATCGTTAATTTTTAATCGTTTATCAGATTAACAGTTTGCCAACACTGTGTGAAATCATGTTCATATTCACGGAGAAAAATAGACGTTTTTGGAAAAGAGGCGTAGCACCTCCCATACTGAATGAAAGTTTCATATTGCATATCTCTTCAAATGTTTGGGGTAAAGCACTCAAGCTTGGTATGGAAATACATATCAATGTATGTATGTGAAACTAACCATACTCATGGAGAAAAATGAGAGTTATTGGAAAGGTGGTGTGGCAACTCCCATGCAAATTGGTTTTTCGATGCTGCATATCTCTGGAGGTGTTTATTGCAGAGGACTGGAACTTGGCACCGTGTGTACAAAATTAATTCCATACTCATGGAGAAAAATTTGCGTTATTCGAAAAGGAGACATGGTTCCTGCCGTACAAATTTACTGTTTTATACTGCGTATATCTAGAGGTGTTCATGGTAGAGTACTGGGTCTTGGTACTGGGGTATGTAAAATCAATTCTAAATTCATGGAAGAAGATTAGGGTTATAAGAAAAAGGCGCGTGGCACTTCCACTACAAATTTACTTTTTCTTGCCACATATCCCTGGAAGTGTTTGTGGAAGAATACTGGAATTTGGTATGGAGTTGTGTATATAAAATGTATCAATTGCTCATGGAAAAAATGTGAGTTATTAAAAAAGGAGGCATGTCGCCTCCCACACATACTAAAAGCTTCTTAATACATATCTCTGGAAGGATAGAAAATCTCTCGAAGTATTTTAAATTTGTTATGGAGATTTATTTTATAAGTGCCGTACTGACAGAATAAATTTCATTAAATGGAAAAGGGAGAGCCGGGTTCGGCCTTATAATCTAAAGCTCTCTTGAGGCATTTGCTACAGTAATGAGAAGTGGTATTTTGTCATGGCCAGGTTACTAAATTTGAGTTGGAAATATTAGAACTCGCCGTGGAACCTCCAAGAAGGTTACACGTTCACGCGTCGTATACCTGGAAACATTTTAAGGTAAACTTAGAGGGATTGATATCTTTCGTATGCCTAGCGCGCAGAAGAGATTTTATAATTTCATAGTTTTAAACGGCCTAAATACCTTAACTCGCTTAAAAAATAATGAGCTATAACGAAATGGGCACAGAAATAAAATCTAACATCATTAAATTATTTTTCATATTTGTATAAAAGCGCGGGGTATAAGCTAGTATTATATAATTTTTTTACACACAAAGCAGAAATTACCTGTCGATCCTCGCCCGCGGAAGCAAAATGTCTACCATGTGGAGAGAAAGCGACGGCGCAAACTTAGTATGGCCAGTTAGTGTATAATTTTCCCGTCCATTTTGACCTGGTTCCGCTAAAGTGCACTACTACCGTGTATAAATTAGTCGACCTTCTAATAAATCAAGCAATATTATTGTATCGCCGCCAGTCACCAAGAAATTTCCACTTGGGTGAAATGCAACATCATTCTCCGGCGACGAATGCACTGCATTATCTCGCCTTCAGCTATGTCAAATATCTTAGCGCGGTTACAATTTAATGCTAAAGCCACCAGATTACCGTCTGGATGCCACCAGATTACCGTCTGGATGCCATGCCAGCTGTCGTCCCATACCTCTTCCCCCGGTGAACGTTCCCACACATTTGCCTGAAAGTGTATCGCAAATTCTTAACTTGTCGTCGCCGCACGATGCAATTAACTTACCATTAGGACTGAATTTTGCTGCGCGCACCCATTTGTGTGTCCAGTGGAAGATGTGTATTTTGAATTAGTATTGTTACGATTATCATATATGTAATACTTCTATATTGGCAGTAAGCTAACTTCTCAATGTGTAAGCATTCCGAAATCAACCCTACAAGAACACTCCTAGTTAAATCACTTAATGTTTCACAGATATATTAGGTAGTTCGTTTATAGAAATATTAGGTAGCCTCTAAAGACGAGTTTCTATTAGCTTCTTAATGCTGATTGGAAAAAACTACCAGAAACTGTTGTGTACGTGAGAGTTTGCATCCCTTTCTAGCTCTTGCGCTTACCTCCATTTGTAAACATATACCTTGACCGCTCACACGCGTTAGGACTAACAGGTAATTACATGATTAAATACCTAAAACTACTAATGGACATTTATGGGAGCATTCTCGTACATATCCCTTAGGCATACCGGAAGTCTCAGATTGATTTCAGGTATAGGTCTGTTAGGCGTATCAGAAATATTTGTTAGACTTCTGTTATATGTTTGTTACGCCTACCACAAATCTTTAAGATACTTCTGGTATATGTCTGTTAGGCCTACCACAAATCCTAGATTGCCTTCTGGTATATGTCTGTTAGGCCTACCAGAAGTCTTAGATATACTTCTGGTATATGCCTGTTAGGCCTAACAGAAGTCTTAGAAATACTTCTGGTATATGTTTGTTAGGCCTACCAGAAGTCTTAGAAATATTTCTGGTATATGCTTGTTAGGCCTACCAGAAGTCTTAGATATACTTCTGGTATATGTCTGTTAGGCCTAACAGACATCTTAAATATACTTCTGGTATATGTTTGTTAGGCCTACTAGAAGTCTTAGAAATACTTCTGGTATATGCTTATTAGGCCTACCAGAAGTCTTATATATACTTCTGGTATATGTCTTTTAGGCCTACCAGAAGTCTTAGATAGGCCTACCAGAAAAATAAGTTACAGTTCTAGTATATGTCTGTTAGGCCTACCAGAAAAATAAGTTACAGTTCTAGTATATGTCTGTTAGGCCTACCAGAAATATTAGTTACACTTCTCGCATATATCTGTTAGGCCTACCAAAAATACTAGTTACACTTCTCGTATATATCTGTTAGGCCTGCCAGAATTATTAGTTACACTTCTCGTATATATCTGTTAGGCCTACCAGAATTATTAGTTACACTTCTCGTATATGTTAGGCCTACTATTGTTAATATAAGTTAAATAGAAACAAAAAATTTTTCTGTGGTTCTGTTACAATTTATTGAGTTCATATTTTAAGAATTTAAGTAGGTATAGTATAGAAGTGTTAAAATGTTATAATTCAATTTCATCTTTAAAAATTTTATTTTTAACTATAAAAATACAAACGATATAAAAATAAACTCATTGTCTACAAAAATAAATAAATTAAATCGAAAGAAAAACACATTCTTAAAAATAATAATAACACAGGCCAACAAAAATGGGAAAACAATTTGTTGTGGCAAATTTAAAAGCTGTTTTTCATATACCTTCTTGTGCTGATTACGAATCCGTAAGTATAAAGTTTCCATCAGCTCCAGATTTTGAGAAAAACGATGTGAAAATTAGAAAAAATCGCGTTTTTTGGAATATTTGAGAAGCAGATAGAAGGTGATGGAACCTTCCACTTAGGCTTCAATTAAAGACAAAACTCTCGACTACTATCCCTGAAAATACCATCCCTGCACCTTGACCCGATGGTCACTTATAGTCGTTTATTGAACAGTGGAAACTGATTTTTGGCTCTGGATTTTGGCTATCGCTATTAAACAAAAGTTGATAGAACCTTCAATTAAGGCTTAAATGAGGCCTAAGTGGAAGGTTCTATCAACTTATATCTGCTTCTCACATATTCCAAAACACGCGATTTTTTCTAATTTTCACAACGTTTTTCTCAAAATCTGGAGCTGATGGAAACTTTATACTTATGGATTCGTAATCAGCACAAGAAGGTATATGAAAAACAGCTTTAACATTAGACGCATCAAAATCAGTGTTGCCCTGTGTAATACTTCATTAATGGGTTTGAAAATGAAAATATTAAAGCCATATATTATTATTATACTTATTTTAGTTTATGTTGGCTTAACCGGATTTTTTGTTTAAGCCGATTATGGGCCAGGTCAATTGACTTTTTAACATTTTTTTCAAATGCTAGTCGTCCTTCGGTTTTAAATACGTCTGGAAACAATTTCAACAATAAAAATCAAACGATTGTTTAAATTTAATGAAGTTAGATACCATATAAAATTTCTTCCACCAGTTTTAACGCGCGTAATGATTTTTTCTCCTACCGCCCGTCCCAATATAGAGTTGCAGAAATTCATCAGTGAATAACTTCCGAATAACGTCATTCACGCTTCCCGCTGCCCCCTTTATTTTATAAATGAAGCTTATCTGATTTGGATAAAAATATCGAAAAAATTTTTGAATTAACTTTCACACGGATACATTCGTCCATACATATGTGTATATATGTATATATATACCGTCGTTTAAAGTACAAAACCCGCGTATCAAGATAATCAAAAACTGCGTATGTGAGGTTGCCCAAATTTTATAGTAGAGAGTAAAAACAGTCGTATGTCGAAATGGTTCTGTGTTTTATAAAGTAATCGCATTTCAGACTAGTATTTCTCAGGACGAACGGTTTTGTACTTTAAACGACGATAAGTGTGTATGCGTATAGTCAATTACCATTGCCTGTTTGTACTCGGGGTTCTCAAGTTTTGCCTCCACCTGGATTGAGCAGTCTACACTGAAGAGAGGGAGTGTACTAGAAATCTCTTGAATAGTTTCATCCTCGGTTTCTCCGGTCATAAGACAAAGGGAATTTTGAACCTTTTTAAGCATAACCTGGCACTCCCTTATCATTTGGTTCTGGGCCAACATGTCGCTGCGTTCTACAACCTATTACTCAAATAAAAAGTTATACTCGTATATATATGTACCTAAGTATATTTAGGTAACATATAGTTACTCACAGTCAAAATCGGACAGGTGTCTTTTTACTGTACATATTCACAACGACTTTAATGCAATATCTTTTTTGTTATTTTTTTAACTACTTTAAACTTACACTTTATTATATTGACATTTAATGCATGCTAAAAAAAATGTATACCCAAAAAAGATATTACATGAAAATCACTGTGAATATAGTGACAAGATAACTGTCCCATTTTGACTGTGAATAATTGTGTCTATTAATTATTAGCAATATGCTCAAACCAGCTGAATCGGAAGCAAAAGTTTTCTTACGATTTGGGAGAGCGCATTTTCGACGTTAGATATTCTATATTCAATCTTGTCTAACCGCTGCTCTATTGCAGTCTGGCTCTCAGAAATACTCTTCAATAGATTAAATATATCTGTAAGGATGTGTTTTCATATAATATACATTTTGTTTAGTATTTTATTGATATTTTATTGATTTTACCACTACTTTTCTCTGCATAGTATGCTGTTTTGGATGTGGTGGGGCCTTCTGAGCTGTTATATGCACTGGATGTTTCCCATCGTTTTTGTGTAATGCGCTGACCTATGAGAAAATCAGTTAAATTTAAGTAATAATAATACTGAATTCTTCCTTCACCTTGGTTTGGAGTCGATTTCATAGAAGGCTCAAAAATATCTCGTGAATCCATTATTGAATTATAATGTGTACTCTTTAAACATACTTTTTAATAAATAAAACTAACGAAATGAGTTGCTAATAAAAGCTAGTTTGAAAAATTATTGAAGAGGTGATGTAAAAGGGGTATGAGACTGAATTTATTTTGATGAGGAATGCAAAAATATTTGTAAGTTATATCTTCCTTTTCAACAGAAATAAATTGAGTGCCGATTTCGCTACCTAAGAGTATGCCTAACCCAAGAGATGATTGGAGAGGAACGTTAAAAAAATTTTCAGTTTTGTGAAAGGAAAGGCAAGTATATGTTTCATAGGGAGTACTCTTTTCCACTGCAATTACTTTCAATGGACCTAATTTCTGGCTAAAGCAGAAACAATCTTTTTCTTTTTTTGGATCTATGATAAATGAGTCAATATTCGTGCCACTGAAGTTTTCTAAATGGTCTACCTGCCTCTCTTTGAAACGTAAAAATAGTTGCTGCAAAATTTGATTCGGCTTCTTAACAAGTTTTTTTAAATACTGCATATAATCTCATACTTATACGCAGAAAAGTTGTCTAATGGGCCATATTGCTTTGCGCAGTCTGATAAATGTAATAAACCGTGGACATTAAAGCTCACGAAATGATCCCCATAAATATCTCCAAAATAGTGAACGAATTCCTCTATTATTTTCTGGGCAACATTTGCTTCAGAAGTGTACGATTTTTTATTACAAAGTATTAATTTTATTATTATTAATTAATTTAATTATTTAGTATTACGGTCGCTTTCCAATTACAAATATTATCTAAATTTCTAGATACTCTACCAAATTCTGATGGCACAAATTTGCTAAGAAAACTTATTTTTGCGTTCATTTGCGTAACATTTCCCTTTTTTATCAAAAATTGAAGTAATTTTTTCATGACCCCTAGATCCACCAGATGCATTACGTCTAGTGGAAATTGGGAAACCATTCCGAAATTATAAATCTCCAAAATACTTTTCTTTTGTCTAAAATTCAAGTTATGATGCGATAGATCAGTTCGAAGGTCAAACGATAAGTCTGTTCTTGAAACATGAAGTTCTTTTGAAAAACATACTCTATTTTGGATATATTTTCCTTGCTGACAGCACTTCGGACATCCCCTTTTGCTATTGAAATACTGTGTGCCAGTAACGAACGACCGCGCTGGAGAGTCGCATATAAACACACGAACATTAAACTTTTTGGGAACTGATCTTGAACCCACTTTCAGCCCATTTGCTCTCAAAGAAGCTACTTCTTCACAGAATTCTCTTAAGAAATCGTCTAAATTTTTTGGTTTGCTCATTCCTGAAAAGCAAGCTATAGTAAAGGGACTCTGTTTTGGAAAGCCGCTCCAAGTATTGGCCACAAAACTCTACG